ACTCATGTCGGAGAGGTCCCGGCGCCGGCCGGGACAGTAGACCGGGCATTGGCACGCGGCACAGAGGGCCGCCCCGGAGGCACTGGCATGCGCCGGGCCGCGGGATGTCAGTGTGCGCCCCCATGGCAAGGCCGGAGTGTGCCCGAACAGCCGCCCACGGCTCGACGCACCTGGCCTCCGTGGCCGAAATGTGCCCCCCGGCCGGGGCCTGCCCCTCCAGCATGCAGCGGGTGCAGAGGATGGCCACCGGGCCGGGCCCGGCGGCCGCCAGGGGCCCCGAGTGGCTGGCCGACGCCTCGATCGTTTCCTCGGCCGTGGCCCGACGCCGGGGCAGGAAGGACAGCGACCGGGCGATGCGGGTCCCTGGCGTCCGGCGCCATGGCGAGGCCCCGGCGCCGGCCTCCGGCGCCGAGGACAGGCCCCGGCCCTGGCCGGCGGCCGGGGGGCCGCCCTGGTGCTGATGCTCTTGGTCATGCTGGGGGCGGTGGTGGTGGTGGTGGTGGTGGTGCGGAGGGTGGTACTGCTCGTGCGGGTGCGGGTCCAGCCCATCGGCATGTCGGTCGCGGAGCAGCACCCCGGAGTACGAGGGCAGCAGCGAATTGACCAGGTGCCGGACTGGCCGCCGCCAGCTGTGCCAGAATCGCTCGCCGGGCGCCCCGCCGGCGGGGTCGGCCGCCCCGGGGGAGCCTCGATCGAGCAGCGCCGGCAGCGAGGGCGACGCGGCCGGGGCGTCGGCCTGGTGCTCCAGCCTCGCCGGCGCCCCGGCCGGGGCCAAGTGCCCGATGGTGGCGAAGTCCAGGAGCGTCGGCGAGGGGATGGGCGTGGCCGGGGCATCCGGCGAAGCCAGGAAGCCCGGGTCCTCGGCATGCTGTGGCGATGGGGGGGGGCATGGCGGCCCGTGCCCCGGCACGGGGTCCGGGCGCAGGGTGTCAGAGTCTGTCGGGGCGCCGTGTCCGCGCGGAGGATGGCCCCCCCCCCCCCCCCCCGCCCGCGGACAAGCACAGGTCCGTGGCTGGCGAGACGACCTTGCGCCCGGGCAGCGGGCAGGGGGCGAGGATGAACCGCGCGCTCCCGGCACACGCGGACGCGGCAAAGGCGGGTGCAGGGCAAGGAGCAGCCACAGGGGGCCGGCGCACGCGGACAGCAGCACCAAGCCGGGGGCGTACCTCAGCCCCGAGGGGCACATGCCGGAGGGTGGCCGCCCCGGGGGAAGCCGACGCCGGGGGGGGCGTGGCCAATGCGGCCGCCAGGGTGCTGCTGGCCGAGGGGGTCACCCCGGTCGCCGGGGGGATCAGCCCCGAGGCCCGGGCCCGAGCGCTGCGAATGGCCTCGGAAGCCGATGCCAGCGGGTGGGCCAGCTGCTGCCCCGGCCAGGCCGATGCCCCGGTGATTTCGCGCCGCTCGCTGTCCAGCAGGGCCCCGGCGGCCGGGACCCCGGTGAGGGCGGCCGCCAGCCCGGCTGCCGACTCCTCCCCCTCGCGGCTGGCCGGGCCCGAGTCGGGGGTGCTGTACCCCCCGGCGGCGGCGGCGGCCGCGCCAGGGTCGGCCGGCAAGGACAGCGAGCTGGCCGACGGCTGACCCCCCCGGTGCCGGCAGGCCAGCAGGTCGTCCTGCGCATAGCGCGGTGCCGGGCCGGCGTCCTCGGCGAGGGCGGCCGCCCGGCGCTCGGCCGCCCGCAGCAGGGCCACCCGGGTCATGGAGTTGCACTGCTCCGTCGGCGAGGAGGCCAGCACCCGCAGCGGCAGCAGGCCGATGGTCTTGGGCAGGGGCGAGGCGCTGTTGGCCTTGCGCAGGCCGGCCGGGGTGGCCGCCGGCCGTGACGGCGTCCCGGGCGGCGTCGTCGCCTGGTCCGGTGCCGATGGCGGTGGCGGCGGCGGCGGCGGCGCCTGGGTGGCCCGGCTGGCCGGCCCGGCGGCCGAGCCCGAGCCCGGCGCCTGCCGCGCGCCGCCCCCCGGCCGGCCGATCTCCCCGAGGCCCAGGGCACCGGCAGCACCGTGGCCGCCGGCCGCCGGGCCGGCCATCATCCCCGAGGGGGACACCGAGCTGCCATTGGCACGGACCACACTTTCGCGAAAGGCCGTCACATCGCGCATGTACTGCCGGGAGAAGTGCTGCGCGCTGTAGAAGGCCAGCTGGTGCGCGCGCTGGGTGGCATTGTAAAAGCCATCCGGCGACTGGAGGATGTGCTCGATGTCCGACGCGGTCGAGGGGCAGGGGACCTTTCGGCGGCCCGAGGCCGACCGGGCAGGATGCATGGTCAGGCAGGCGTAGACGCTGGCGGGG